TGGTAATGGATTAAAATGAAACTTACATTCATTAATGTATCCTCAGTAATTTTTTGAGGTTCATAATAATAACCTTCAGGTTTTGAATCTCCAAAAATAGCAGTAACACGTCGATGATTTGATTCTAGTGTTGTTAGTTGATCCGTATTTTTCGTAAAAAGTTCAATATTATTTTCTTGTTCAAAAAGACGATCATGTGGATCTAAGAAAATCAAAACAAAAAATAAATAAATAAATTAGTCGCATAAAATAGATAATATTTACTATTGATATCAATTAATTTTTGTTGTGACTTAAGAGGAGATGTATCAAGATTTAATTTCGAATTGAATTGTTGAGTAAGACTTGAATTAGAACTTGAATTTTTCATTGTTTTCGATGATTCTGCTGGATTTTTTTTACGTGTTGCTGGAGATAAATTCAATGGATTTGCTGCAATAGCTGCTGTATCAATTGTAAATCGTACAGTAGGTGGACTAATTGAATTGGCAAGATCAGAATTAGACGAAGCAATACTTGCTTGACGAAGACGATCTATAGATACGCGTCGGTCTAACAAAATCAAAAAAGAATCTTGATATATATATATATATATATATTCTTTCAGGAATATATTCTTGTACCATCATACGGACTACCATGTGGACTACCAGTCGCTGTTCCACCGAAACTTCTGGTTCTATCTCTTGATTCTTGCATTTTTTCAAAATTATGAACTTGCGTTGGAACAGGTATTGGCTGTGTAATACTGGAAGTTCGTGTCTTTTTAGTATTTTCAATGGGTGTTAATGTAAGATTATCTGAACGTAATGATGATGGTTCTGTTTGATTTCTTAAAATCAAATATTATTATATCAAAACAAAAATAAATATTTTATTTAACAAAAAAAATGAATATTACTTACAAAGTACCAACAGCTTGTTGTTCTTGAATTGTACGTTTATCTCGTGAAATTTGAGCAAATGATGTATGATTACCTAAAACTCCATAATAATAATAATAAATTATGATAAATATAATCATTTATACCAGAAAGAAGAGTTTTTTCAGTAGTACCTTGTTCTGGAATGTGTGAAAATGTGTCAGTTTTAGTTGCATTTGTTTGATTTACTGGACGCTTAACTGGAGATTTATTTGTATTTATTGGTGAATTTGTATCAAGAGATGGTGAATGATGTTTATTAGTATTTTTTGATTGTACTGTTGGTAATGTAACTGGTTCATGTTCAGGTATTGTTTCAATTTGACGATTGAATTGTCGAGAATTCATCTCATTCTTAAGAGAATCTATTAGACTTTTTCTTTTATTCAACGATGAATATGACTTACAAGATTTTGTCCTTGAGAACATGTTTTGTCTGATAATGTTGGTGAATTAATTACATTTAAATTTGATGTTTGTAATATATTTACAGATTGATCTAAAAAAAATAATTTTTATTAATTTCAAAAAAAAAAAATAAAGATTTGTTTTATTAATTTACTTTTTCTTAAAAATGGATGATTAAAAAATTCTTGGAAATCAATACGTTCTTTTGGATTACGTTTTAATATTCGTTTTAATAAATCTGTTAATTCCGGTGATGTTGATGATGGAATTCTAACAAAAAAAATACAATAAAATAAAACATTCAATTCTACACAAAAAAAAAAAAGAGAAAATAAATTCATAAAACTTACACAGGTGACAAATTAACATTTCGTTCATAATATTGTTTAAGTGCTTGTGGTGTTTGAGCTTGGAATGGAGCTTTACCTGTTAAACATTGATACATTATTGTACCAATTGACCATAAATCAGCTTTTCCATCATATTGTAATGATCGAATGACTTCTGGTGCCATATACATTGGAGAACCACATAATGTTCCTGCCATAACACCATCAGATAAAAATCTTGCAAAACCAAAATCAGCTATTTTTAGTATGGCATCTTGTACACGTGGATTAGTTTTATCTGGATATGATAAAAGAATATTTTGAGGCTTTAAATCTCGATGAACCTTGAAGAAGAAGATTAAACAATTATAATAAAGAAATAAAATCTAATACATACAACACTATGTTCATGACAAGCACTAATTGCAGCAGCTAAAAAGAATATGTGAAGAATTACAAAAAAACAAAAAGAAACAGAAAATGAAGATTCTTGTACCTATTTGCTGAAAAAATATAGTAATTGTTTCTTCACTAAGTGTTTGTCTTGATTGAAGATAATCCGCAAGATCACCACCATTGCAATACTCAAATTAAAAAACGAAATTAATATTTAATACAAAAATGATTAACTAACCTCCATAACAAGATATACATTATTTTGAGATTCCTATTAACATGAAGAATTTAAAAAAAAAACAATACCATTTGAATTTTACTTTGCAATCAAGTAATGCAACTAGATTTTCATGTTTAAGTTTTGTTAATTCCTAAATATTGATTATAAATAAAGATAATGCAATTTAAATTTATTTACTTTAAGAATTTTAATTTCTTTTTCAAGTAAACTTTGCGATTTTGCCAAGTGTTTTTTTGTTATTTGTTTTACAGCAACAAGTTGTTCAGGATTCTTTTTTTTTTTTGTTAAATAAATAAAAACAAATAAAAAAGAAAGAAAAAAACTTATAGTTAAACATTTACAGATCTCGAATGACCAAGAAATACAATAGCAAAAGCACCATGTCCGATCAAATCCCGTTTGCTATACTGATAATCACCAATTATTTCAGGCATTTTCTTTTTGTTTAATCTATTTTAAAATCTTAATAATAATCAAAAAAAAAAAAAAAGAAAACATAAATAATCGTCTAGAAAAAAGAAAAAAAAAGTAATGCTTTACCATCATAAACTAAATAAAGGACATTGCAATGTAAGTTTTTTTTTTGCATAGGTATGCACTTATTACTCTACTAACTATGTCTATACTTTTTTTTTTATAGATCCTCCTCAGTCTATCTAAAAACAACAAGCGTATAATTATCGCTCGTTTCGATAGTATTATTTCTATGTGTCCCTGTGCGCGTGCTCGCGTGGGATATTAAGAACAAGATGCAATCAGGCAGCAGCTGAATGTGTATTGCATAAATAGAGAAGAGAAAAAAAGGCGAGAAGAACGAGTAAAAAAAAATTGAGATCATGTGACGATAGTTTGCATACAGATTTTTTTTTT